AACTGAATATGGAATGAAAGAAAACACTACTAAACAACAGATACGTCAAAAATTGCAGCTGCATATGGAATGAAATAAAATATTGCTACATGATAGGGTTATAGATAAATGTCAAAATTTGCAACTGAATGTGGAATTGCTACACAACAGATACGCCACAAATTGCAACTACATATGGAATGAAATAAAATATTGCTACATGATAGCATTATAAATGAACATCAGAACTTGCAACTGAATATGGACTGAAAGAAAAATTGCTACACAATAGATACGTCACAAATTGCAACTGTATATGGAATGAAATAAAATATTGCTTCATGGTAGCATGATAAATAAACGTCAGAATTTGCAGCTGAATATGAAATGAAAGAAAAAATTACTACACAACAGATACGTCACAAACTGCAACTGCATATGGAATGAAACAGAATATTGCTACATGATAGCATGATAGATAAAGACCAGAATTTGCAATTGAATATAGAATGAGATGAAAAACTGCTCCATAATAGATATATATTAAAAACAGAAAACGAATATGGAACAAGAAAAAAATTGCTACATGAAAGATGGACGTCAAAAATAGGAATTGAATATCGGATGAAAGAAAAAAATTGCTAAGCTGCACATTAAGCAACTGTATATAGAATGAAAGAAAAATTACTGTAGGACAGATAACACGTCAAACATAGAAAATGAATATGGACTAAAAGAAAAACTGCTAACGAAAGATATACGTCAAAAATAGGTACTGAAAATGATATAAATGAAAAAATTGTTACATGAAAGGTGTAAGACAAAAATAGGAAATAAATATGGAATGAAAGAAAAAAACTGTACGTGATAGATACAGCTCAGAAATAACAACTGAATATCGAACGAAAGAAAAAAATTCTTCTAAAATGCCATCTAGTATGGAACGGTTCCATGATAGATATTGTCAGAACTAGCAACAGAAAATATGAATGAAAGCAAACATTGCTGCATGGGAGATATGCATCAAAATTAGCAACTAAATACTTAAAATCTAGGACTGACAGATTAGTCAAAATTAGCAACTAAATACTTAAAATCTAGGACTGACAGATTAGTCAAAATTAGCAATTGAATATTGATTGAAAAAGACATTGCTACAAGACAGATGAAAGTCAAAAATTGTAACTGAATCTAATATGAAGAAAAAACTGCTACATGACAAACGTATGGTAAAAATAGCCACTGAATATGTTTTGCAAGAAAAAATTGCATCATGTTAAATATGCTCAAAAATCGAACTGAATGTACAGTGAAAGAAAAAATAAATATTTTCTCTGCTTGCTCGAAAAAGAGGATCTCCATGTTCTTATAAAAGATCTTATATAAAATCTTTTATAGAAGTTCTATAAAATGAGTCAATCGGCAGCTAAATCAAACGAGCTTATACAGCTTATGGAGCTACTGTTTTTCAGTAAACCGCATTTTAAGTTTATGTGTCAGTAAACTGCATTTAAAACAGACTTTAAATACAGTTTACTGAATATCAAACAATTTTGCTAGTTACAAATATGAATTAACAAGAATCCACTGCACATTAGACTTTTTTATTTCACTGAAGAAATCTTCAGATTGAGTAAAATGTGGATTTAAATTCTGCCTGTCCCATTATATGGAAAGAGAAAAAGGATTAGCGGAAATATACCAAATCTAATTTACCGGAATGTTCAAAACGTACACCTTTACCAATTGTCCACAGTGCAAATTTTCCTGTTTGATAAATTTCCTCGTCTAGTAGACAAAGAAAGAGGTCATGGCATCACAGAAAGAAAGGTTACATTAAATATGAATAAATAATGGAAACTATAGGAATAGATCTCAAGTAATTGTTGTTCTACACGACATTCGAAAACTCGGTTTCAGTTGTTTGAACAGGTGGAATAGCAGGAAAATGTTGCACAAGGCCAAGTAAATAATACGACTCAATTCTTTTTCAAAGTCAAACTTCTGTTAAAAAGAATCTAATGTAGCTAACATATAATTAATAAATAACAATGAATATGCAATATAGTTCTACCTCAAAAGGAATTCCAATTAGGAGAAACACAAAATCCAGAAATCTTTTAGAAAAGTGTGCTTAAAAAATATCCTTTACTGTAATTTTTTGTTGTGAAAGTAGATATAAATTTCGTCAGATTAAAAGAGGAAATTATAAAAAGTGATTTATAGTTAAGTTTCTTTAAGTTTCAATTATTATTTTAGTCACCAGAGTCAAAAAACTCTAACTAAGGATAAGACATTTTAGTGTGTTATTTTTAACATTTCACCTTATTTCAGTCACTTCGTTTCACATTTTTCTATTCATTTTGCTTTTTCAGTTCACTTTGCAAATCCATTCAGGTTTTTGAAAATTAGTCGTAAAGTTAATTTTTACAAATCTGCATTTCAAAAGACAGTCGTTGAGGATCCCTTTTGCTTTCAAAAGCAAACTATTCCACTATGATACTTATTCATTGATTTTTCTTTCTCCAGAAGGGAAAATATTCTGCCCTCAAGGAGAAAAGATATTTTAGAAATATTATGCAAAAAAATATTTTTCCTCAATAAAGCAGGAGTCTCTCCCGAAATGCAAAGAGATTTTCTACAACTCACTATCGATGTAAGGTTGAATCTTGCGTGAATTTGAATTTCAAATGACGCTCATTCTTTCCTAGACATTCTTCATATCTATTTTGTCATATTACGACTACTCGTAGTGTACTCATGTAACACCTTAAACATATACTAGCTATTTCTGTGTGTATCATTTTTTACAGAGGTAAATATACTTATTTTTTTAGACTTTTTAGAAGCACCAACCTGAATTCTTACCCTTACATAATATAGTGAGAGAACCAAAGAATAAGTAAACAAATAAAAATTGGAAAATTCTCAAATTCATTGGTAATCGTCAACAACTTTCCTAAGTTAGAATTTTGTGTGAGCGAGATCAACATTGTTTATCATATTTACTTGTGAATTGTGTTGTACTGCAAACTATGCAAGTTTATTAAAATTAAATTTATTAAATTATACATTTCATTCGATCTGAATTGGGTACGATATTGTTCAAGGTATATATATGTACGAAATATACGAAAAATAGAAATATGGAGATATACTGTGTAAAATTCATTTTTTCAGTGTACTGAAATATAACAGCAATCAGTCGCACTGCAGGTATTTCTGAAGTTATATCTTTTGGCAGTATCGTAAGATGTTACCTCTAGATCTTTAAAGATTTAGACATATTTTTAAACGCACGCTATAAATCGGGTATGAATTTTGAGCTTTTAGCCAATCGGCCCATATTGTCATTAGTTGGTGATACCATGCCGATGAACTAAGATTTAAATCTCGAAAAAGGCATAGACGTTTGTGAGAATGTTTCTTTAAGATGATATACTTAAAATCCGTGAATTCGAAAGTCTGATTTTATGGTCGTAAAGGAAAAGACCACCCTACAATCAGATTCTTTCCCAAGGAACACTCACGAATAAAATTGGGATGGAGATGACAAGCTCTGTTGTCATTCCTAGTACTCAAAACCTATGACCAACGAAAAGAACATCCACAAATCCATTCATGATTTAGCATAAGACTTTTCATATCCCGGACGTGAGGCTATGCAACCACAGCAATAACTCATCTTTTCATAAAAAGTCACCAAAGAGAAAGGGAAAGGAAATTCTGCCCATGCTCAATTAAAGCATACAATATGAAATTCTGGTCGTTTAGGATCAAATGGGAATTTTTTTCTGACAGCTTGGAAACAGATAATGGTATTTACACATTCATTGGAAATGCACTGGAATTGAAGAAGGTTATACTGGCATTCTTTTACGAAGCAGAAAACAAAATTATACCACAAGGATACGTTAAACCATGAATATTAAATAGGAAGCTATGCAAACAGCAATTTATAACAAAATTATAACACAAAGATACGTTAAAGGAAGCTATGTAAGCAGCAGTTTATAACAAAATTATACCACAAGGATAAGATAAACCATGGATATTAATAGGAAGCTATGCAAGCAGCAATTTATTTAAAATAGAAGAGATACCTTAATTGCTTAATGCAAGCAGCAGTTTATTTAAAACAGAAGATATCCCTTAAAGGGGACATTTTGTTTTTCTCTTATAGCAAAAGAATGTCAGAATTAACTTCATAGAGACATTAGGTATTTTGGACGCAGGCAAGATGAAAAATTAACAACGCCTTCGTCGGTAATCGAACCACCGAATACCATGTAAGATTCAACCTCTGGAATACCGGCCCAGTGTGCAAACCACTACACCACGAAGGCACGCTAGGAAAGAGGGAGAAATACCTTATAACGTCAAAAACTCTCTTTGTGAATGAAAGCAAGCATAAGAGTTTTAATTATACTTCTCTGAGCCATTCGTCAGATTATTCAAAAAATACTTTTTCTTAATAGTTGTCAATTCAGGGAAAGTAGTTTTTCTTAATGGTTCCTTAATACAATATTGGTAATTATGTGAGACGGTCAACAGTACTCATAAATTCTATATAATTTCGAATATCTTGTATAATAGGGACATATCTTCTGAAAACTGTACCTTTCTAATTTTAAAAATGTATTAATCTTGGGAGTAAGTAAACAATTGTCCACTTACTGTACATAGCAGACAAGTTTCTTTTTATCCTCTTCTGTTATATTTCGTTTTTAAATTTATTTGCTGTTCATGCTGTGAACATTGTTCATATATTTTTTACATTATCTCTATATAAAAAAGTTAAATAAAGTTTAGTGATGTTAATGAGCAATTTTTATGAAGATGGATGACGCATTAAGTGGCAGACCCCCAGATTAACAATTTATATGAACTAACTACACCGGAATAATGATAGAGTTCATATTTCAGGCTCATGGCCACACGTAAAGTATAATCAAAACTTAGTGAACATGCTAAAAATTTAGTAAACGTTATGTACAAACCACTATATATTAACAATATACCTCCATTATATCTCCATCGTTTGTAAATCCTCGTAGTCCGTATCGGATTGTAGTTAACGATCCTGTCTCATCGAATTTCAGCCTCATGGTTTGAGTCTCTGATGTGACTATTTGATCTAAGCCGGTAGCTGCCCTTGCTACATAAGAACTTAAACTCCTCTTCAAGTAAAGCAAGCAGTCAGTGCCTCGTCGGCAAGAACGCTTTTGGACGGCCTTCAGAGCAGCTGCCAGAGTATGTACAGCTTTAACTGTGGATGACACATCGGCGGGAAGTCCAATAATCCTTGAAATGTTGCTGCTTGACACAGTTGGCGTCATAACTAAAACAGAAAATTCAGAATGAAATGCATTTCAGCAATAGGCAACAATTTCATTTTAAGGCAACTTTATCAAATTTTAATGGACTCACCTTCCTAGTATTGGAATTATTTTATTGGCAAGCCATCTAAGGGTATGTTAAGTGTGGTTTGTGAGAGTTGACGAAGGAGAAACTTTAGGATAATTTACTTGGCAGAATGCTCTTGCAATAGGTACAGCAATCGTGATTTCAAACAAAACGTACTGATTTTTTCAATGGACCACTTAACAGAAAAGTCCAACGAAGTGATACTTTGTGATAAAATATCTTAGGTACAGATGTGAAAGTACAAGTAATATAAAAATAGGCCGTAACAATTATGTCATACATCTTCAAATCATAATTAGTGCAGTTTTTGTTACTCACGCAAATTCTACCTATATAGTAGATATCTTTATACTATATATATCTATGTAGTAGATATCTTTAAATATTTCTAGATATCTTTAAATGCACCTAAACTATACAGTATATAGAACGCACCTATGGGGGATTTTTAGGAAGCGGTTTGGTTAGAGCTTTTAGGGACACAGACTAACTGCTAATTAGTTTAGTTTAGAGACTGCTCGGCTAAGAGTAAAATATTTTCAAAAAAGTTTCTTCCCTTCGCCTTTTAGTTCATTTTGAAATTCCTAATTCGTGAAGACAAGTTTGTTTTCAAAGTTATTCTTGAATAGACCAATCCGTTTCTTTGTTTTATACTGAACTTTAATTTCAGACTATATGAATCCTTAAGAGAAGGCTTTTCTTCTATTCAGTTTGGTTCTAATTTAATTCCAATTAAATTTGGTTTGATTAATAAAAGCACAAAAAGGGAAGCAGTGATAAACGTCTTTACGGAAGTAAATATAGTAGTAGCACTTTTATTTTTAGTAAACTATGTTCATAAATTTTTTATATTGAAAACATATTACTATAAACAATATCAAGAGAAATTACCATTTCCTGTCGTAGTATTTTCTTGAACAGAAAGGTATTCCATGAGGAGAGGATGGTGCTTGATGGTATCTTCTTCAAGTAGTTGTTGGAAATAGGTATCAAATTCTGGAATGGCCGAAGATTCTGGAGAAAGAAGCAGAACCTAAAATAAAATATGTTGTTTTGTTATATGGGAAAATTTTACACCGAATAAAGTATCAAATAAAGTAGCAAAATAAAATATTTACAGCGAAAACTATACAGAAGGATGTGAATATTAGTTTTACAAGTTCATTCAAAGTTATATGTTTCTTTCCAGACTTTTTAGGTGTATTTTTTCACAGTCTGAAGGATGAAGCGTCAGTTAAAATAAAAAGAAACATATACGATATGTTCATCTGCATGAATTCAACAAAGGTTATAGGGCAGCAGAGGCTTCAAGACAAATTTAGAGAGCATATGCTTGCTGAAAAAACAGTCCCAAAATGGATTGACAGAATCCGTGGTAGAAAGTATTCTGAACAATTTCCTATACTATGATCTTTCATCTTCTTTGATGAGGAATGTTTAGGTAACTTGATCCGTCTAGCTCCATATCAAAAAACCCACTGGCGAATTTATCTATTATGAGCAACTCCACCCTCTTCAAACGAACGTCAGAAAGAAAAGGCCAAATAAATGACATGCCGTAATCATCCATAAGGGTTACCAGGCTGGGTCAAACTTCAACACTGGGGTCATAGTTATCACCACTCGAACTACGAGGAGCAAAACAACTGTAATAACTTTTATCCAGCAGCTTTTAATCTCTCCGACGATATCAGCATAAACGGCCAACCAATTCTGAGGAACAGTAATAACCTTTTCACAGATGGCTCCAAAACTGAGAACGGCACGGGCAGCGCCTTCTGTAGACTGGAAAATGGAGTTGTAACATTCGAGTCGAAAAGAAAACTAGGCTTGACAACTCGGTATACCAAGTAGAGCTTCTAGCTATCAGTGCTGCAATTAGATATGCGAACACATGTCAACAGGAGAAATTCTCCATACTCAGTGATTCAGCATCAAGTCTGGCGGCTATCGCAAGTCAAAACAGCTGGAGTCCTTTGGTATACCGAATTCAGAAACAGCTTCTGACAATGCTTACTTCGCAAAGACCCACTTTAAAATGGGTTCCCGCTCACACAGGGATTCAAGGCAATGAAGCTTCTGACCTACTGGCCTAGCAGGCAGCGAACTGCAAGGATATATTAGAAAGACAAACTAAACTTCCTTGGTCTCATATTAAGCGAACAACTTTGACAAGTCTGCTACAAAATTGGCAAAGTAGATGGACAGGGGCAGAGGGTAGGACGAAGGACATTTCGCTTACTGCCAAAAGTTAACATGGAAATAAAGACCCACTGTGCTAGCTTAACACAGTTCTTGACAGGTCATGGACCATTCCCAGTATACCTGAACAGATTCAGACTTAGGGATACTCCTTTCTGCGAATGCGGAGAGGAAGGCGACACGGACCATTATTACTCCCATTGTGTACATACAAGAATCTGGCACTTGAAGAAACCATCGGACTGTGCCTAGGCAATGTGGACGTCTAACACACTCAAAAAAATAGAATAGCCCTTGATAAAATAGAGAAAATCTCAAGACACTACCTAAGCAGAAACAACCGTGAATAATATTATGTTTCAAATGCTCAGAACTTAAAGCAGATAACCAGAATAACGCTTAGTGCCTGCAGTTATCAATATGTAAAAACTGTTGTTAGTATGTAATATTCAACCTTGTTACTTTGGAGTCTTCCCCGCCATTTGGTTCATGTCCGTGGTGGTCGAAAGCCATCATAGAGGTGCACTCACTCACATGGAGAACTTCAGACCATATGCAGCAACATTGACAAAAGTTGTTATTTAAAAGCTGATTTGGGAGATTCTTTCACATCTGGTATATTCCCTAAATGTGGGTCCTAGAGATTATCATCTCTTGATGGTAATCTCTAAGATCTCTTCAGATCAATGTCGAATATACGCGTGGCAGATAGAAACAATGATCAGCTGTAAACATTTCTGGATTTTATGTATTAAAACATCCGAATTCTTATAGAAATGACATCCAAAAACTGTCAGATCATTGAAAAGAGATCGTGAACAATGCATAGGAATAACCAGTGACGCAACACTGATCAAAATGTAAGTGAAGTTATGTATCAAATCAATAAACGCAGAAGGAGGTGAAAAATCCGTAAAGCCTGGGGTTTGAAGTTGCAAGGATTTTCGTTTTTGTGGATTTCAGTTCATAAAAGAGAAATAGTTAGATTATATTTAAAATAAATAAATAAATAAAAATCTGATGTGTACACCACATGCCTTCCTCGTACGGAATATTAAATTATACGCATTTTTTCTTGAGTTTCATTTAAACTTATTGGATTGAATTAAATCTACTTCGCCGACAGCGCATAAACCACAATAGAATAAATGCATTCTTTAAAATTCATTCTAGTATTTGTTTACCATAGCGACACTCTGGCTCTAGATTCACTTAACAGTATTAATAATTACAAGTTATTATATAAGTTAACTGTTAGTTAACTTATATAATAATTATATAACGGAAACTAAGTATAATCCAATAATTATATAACAGTTAACTTATATATTTCGTTCATATTATAACTCATAATGCACAAAATTTATATCATTTAAAGAACAGAATTATCTAATCGTTGCCACATGTTCTATTCAAATACTATAATACAGCTGTATAAAAGAAATTAAGGAAACAAAACAAAAAAGAAACAGTTTTTCACAGACGATTGAGTATTTCTCATTTAATTAATTCAGTTCTCACTTCGCGAGAAGGCAAAAATACATAAAAACTCAAAATATCTATATTAAAAATTACGAAGTAAATCTTAAACACTTATTTCCTCGAAAAAATTCCAGAAAGAATTAAGCATGATTTAATTGGCAATAATAAATGAATGCGTTATCTTTGTTGTTTCGAAGTTAAGTCATTCTAGATTGGCAACAAATCCATTAGTCTCCTGTTTCAAATGTAAACATCAAAGGCCGCCATAAAAAAAGGCTTAGCGGCACTTAGACAACTTTAAAATTGCTGATAATTCTAAACATATTGCACACAGATTTACTAAAGTCATAAAATCCATAACCGGAAGATAAAAACAACATAATTCAATCATTTTTAAAGCAAAAAATGTACAATTTACAAACATATAAGAGTAAAGAAACTGAGATCACTGAGCCGGGTAACAGAGTGGATATATATATAAATATATTTATATACGTTTGGTGCAGCCGATTGCAACCAAAATACGAGGTGCACATCTACATGTTATAGTAGTCCTATATACAATATTTCAACGTTCTGAGGCTACTCGTTTTTGAGTTATGCGAGATGCGTACGTACGTACATACTTTCGTACAGACGCCGCGAAAAATTCTCTTCAGAATTAATTTAAAGCAGTTTTATAATTTTTTTGAAGGAAAAGAGTATTTTATTCTGTCCTTACGTACAGATATCACGCAAAAACATTTTTAAATTGCATTCGATAGCGGTCAAAATGGATATTTTCGTCGAAATATGCTGCCTGAAACTTTTCGCGTTTACAATACTTCCTTTTTACTTCGTACAAGGAAGTAAAAAACGAGACATATTAGACAATATAAATAAAATAAAAGCAATTAATTTCTTGATGTTTTGTAAATAAATATAAAATGAATGCATTTTAATTTTATATTTAAAGAAAACAAGCTTAAACGTATAAAAATTATAAATTATATTTGATATTTCTCAAGTTTTAGTTTGCAGCAGTTTCCTTTAAAATTCTAGGGAGTTCTAGTCTGAGCCCTCATTCTTGGCAAATTATATAGTCATTATTTCCTGCATACATATTTATTGTTCTAAATTCGTTTTCACCCCTTTTGTGTGTGTTTGTGTTATATTTGCAAGAAAGTCATGTTTATTTAGAATCTGACTGTCTCATGGGACAACGACAAAAAAGTATTACGTATACACCTAGTCAATATCAAGGAAAGGTAAATGATAAATGTATTGAATATATCAATAATAAAAGCTAACAATTCCGAAACTTAGTTGTCCAATGTGTTAGAAATTTCGAAAAACCTTCATTCGTAATTATATTTTTCGATTCATCATTCAGTGTAAAAATTAAAATTCTGTCATCAGTGATTTGGTCGTTAAACAAGGATTTGTAAGAGAAATTCTTGAATTTTGATCAATTCTTGTGGAACATTGTATTATCATCCAAAATACAGATGTGAAAAAAAAAGTTCAAGAAAAAAAACTAATTTACAAAAAACCATATAACAAAAAATTTATTATTCAACTGAAAGAAAAGTATAATTTTTATTTTGTTTAGATTCGAGTACTTTTGTAATTGTACAGAATTTTTACTAAAATAAAGTATGAAATATTTTGTTGAAGTATTACGCGAAACTATTTTGTCGAAATAAAAATTTAAATAAAACAAATTGCAAATTAATTTACCTTGCTTTCTTTCCACTAAATACATATCTGGTTTATAGGTTGGGGGGGAAGGCGCAGTTGTGAGGATTTCTTTTTATGTCCGGATATTTTATTATCCCAGTTTAGTTTCGGAATTATACAAACAAAAATTACAAAATTTATTTATTTTTATTGTGACATCAAAATTATTTTCAAATGAAACCAGTCTTTGAAAGCATTTGAAACCGAAAGATAATAACAAAGTAAATGAAAAGTTTGCAATGTCCGAAATCTTTAACATTTTTTCTATTACTTCTATTAAAATTTACAAAGATAAAATTCACTTTTCACAAATTTATCAAAATATTGAACTACGATTACCCTTCTTTTAGCATCGCAACAAAAGAAAACATGCGAAAATTAACCTTTTTTTTAAGAAGATAATCCAACAGCAGAAAATTCGCAACAATTAATGTTGCGCATCACTGAAATAAGTCACGTTTTGACGCTTTCAAAGAAGTCAAGAGAAAAATATAGAACACTGTAATGAGAAAAATAGCTGTTCTTGGTAATTTTGAAATGGGTAATTGTTGTTACTGTTATTATTATTCCAAACTGCTTCTGAAAAGATTGGGTGCAGTTTTATAGCACGCACTCCTACGCATCCATTAAGCCTAATAGAATTTTTAACGATCTTTATGTGTGATACTGCCATTATTTGAGATCATTTCACGGGTACTGGAAGAAGAGAATTCAGGTTGTTCCAATTTTTTTTTTATGGTCACGAACTGTGAAGAACACCTTCCTTCCTTACCTTCCGTAATCGCTGCACTTGCTTCCTGTCGAAAGTGGTCAGTAAACTAGAAGAGATGTCTGAAAGTGTAACTACCACCCATGGAATTTCGGGAAGGTTTTTGTCATCCACGGAACGAAGCATGTCCAGTGCTTGTTCACCCCCGACGAGGAATACAACAGCTTTTAGACGATCCTATAAGGAAAAAGTATAATCAGTTTAAAAATCAATTTGCTTTTACATCTTACTCCTTGACTTTAAACAATGAACGGGTAATGGCAAAGTGACTGTGTGCGAATAGTTTTCGTTTAGAAGTTAGAATCCTTTTCAGCATTAAGTTTATTTTACAACATAGCCATAATACATATTGTGAAAAAATACCTCAAAATAACTCTTTTTTTCTACATGCCATTTTGAAATGAAATAAATGAATGAAATAATAAATAAAGTTTTAAAAAATTCTTAATTTACGAAATTTACATGTAGAACATTAATTGATATTAAAGATAACTGTTATTAAAGGTATCTGAAAGCTTATTTACGGAACATGTTGTACTTTTATACTACTTTTATACAAGTACTTTATATTTTCACGAAGCAAAATGCTAAATTGAAATGAACTGGGGAAAAAAGGGAGATTGGGATCTTCTGGCGTTACCAGTGTTATAAGACAAGTCGAGAAAGGTTCTGATGTAATCACTTGCGCAAAGCAATTCACTCTTCAAACTATGTTCCATGAAACCCCGGACTTCTAGGTGGCTCTTCAAAGGATTCTATAACCCCGGACTTCTAGGTGGCTCTTCAAAGGATTCTATAACCCCGGACTTCTAGGTGGCTCTTCAAAGGATTCTATAACCCCGGACTTCTAGGTGGCTCTTCAAAGGATTCTATAACCCCGGACTTCTAGGTGGCTCTTCAAAAGATTCTATAAGTCAAAACCACAATCCGAAAGAATTTTTGAATATCACGTAAACTGTAAAACTAATTTAATTTACTGAATAGTATTTTTTCCAATTTTTATCTTAAAATAATATGAAGTAATATATTTTTATGAGTAATATTGATTTTTTGTTATATTTTGCATATAAAGAGCCCCATAACCTTGATATATTTATGTTTTTTCAGCATTTATGTTTCAGAAGATAATAGAGTTTTCAATGAAAAAAAAAAACTGTAATTTTAAGGGTTTCACGAAAGAAAATTAATGTTTTAGGGCTTCCCGATGCAAAAATGTTTGAAGGCCATGAAAAGTATTCTGAGGATCCGTGAATTATGTTAAGGAAACGACTTGATACACGCAAAGGTAAACGGACTCTTGCCCGAGGTTTCCACATTTCAGGCTTCCTCTAAATATTTCTTTAATATTTAAAATGTGTAAAATAGTTAATATTATAGAAAGCAAAATATGTAACACTTGAAATAAGGCTTCAGTTATAGGTTTTAAAATAACTAGATAAGAAATAAGAATAAATTTTTAAAAAAAAAGTAAATTCTTCAAAAGTGAGTACTGTATAGTATTCTTTCACTCTCACTGGTGAAATCTCTGTTTGTAAACTAATTCTTATAAGTTATTTCTCCCGCCTTCTTAGCATGCCTTCGTGGTGTAATGGTCAGCACACTCAACGCGTAATTGAAAGGTCCGAGGTTCGAGTCTTGGCGAAGGCACTGCTCATTTTTCACATCTCCTGCTTTCAAAAAATACCTGATGTCTCTACAGTGGCACCCGAACTAAAAAAGGTGGTGGATTATGATTCTCCACTACCAGGATTTGACGAATGGGTCCCCTAATTCCCAATCGCCCTTTAAAAGGGGAAGTATATAAGGTATTTCTTCCGCGTTCTTAGCATGCCTTCGTGGTGTAATGGTCAGAACACTCGGTGTGTATCAAGAGGTCCAAGGTTCGAGTCCCGTCAATGGCATTGCTCATTTTTCAAGTCTCCAGCATCAAAAAATTCTAATGTCTCTATATGCTAAATTGCCTACTCAGTCTCTTCGTTTATCGTTCACCGGAATCTCGATTTGTAAACTGATGTTAAACTACCCAGTCAATCTTTTCGACTGCCGTTTAAAGAAACTTCGATTTATTAACTAATACTAACTTGACCAGTCAATCTCTTTGCTTATCGCTCAGCGAAATCTCGATCCGTAAGCTAATGCTAACTTGCCAAGCCAGTCTCTCCTCTTATTGTTCAGAGTAATCTTCATTTGTAAACTGGTGTTAACTTCAATAGTCAACCTTTTCAACTACCGTTTAGAGAAATATTTATGTATAAACTAATGCTAACTTGCCCAGACAATCTCTGCTATTGTATAATCACCACATTTGCAGCTCATAATATCATGGGAATACGAGGTGCTATTTTTAATTATCACAGATGAAATAATATACTAGATTATTAATTTGTTAAACAAATTAACAGTATTTTTTGTCTCATCTTAGTAATTTAATTAATTAAAATTTACAATGAAATCAATAAGATTCTTTTCTTCTTTTTATCCCCATTTTTCCCCAGGGGAAAAACAAGATCCATGTTTAAAATGTATAAATTTATATTTTATATAACACATAACAAAATTTATATTTTATACAGCACATAATAAACTAAAACCACGAAAACAAAATATATAGAAAAATGAAGAGGATTTTTTGCTTAATTTTAAATGGGAAAAAAAGTTTACTATTATGCTATTTTACGAAATATTTTATATAATTCATATCAGTAATATTCATTACATTGAAACGAAGTATAGAAGAAGCCTTCATAAGAGTTTTGCCAAGTGCCTCCAAATTTTTAAAATCGGGTTTTGTATATAAATAATTTAATTTAAAATATTTCACTCCGAAGTCATTTGAAAAATAAAGTTGTGCGAACAATGGTTTCGTTAGAAAGGTAATTTCTATGCACTGCCATACCTTTCCATATTCAGAAAGCACTTTCAATGTTGCCAAAAATTCGTCATTATCCTGCTGCACACCGTGGTCTAGAGGAATAGCCTGCATTCCAGATATTTGGGCTTGACGTGAAAAATCCTCGAATAATCGACTGGGCGGGTCATCCTCTGCCATCACAGCAACTTCCAACAATCGCAGGTGGCGTAGGACACTGACCGCAGCCTGAAAGAAATCAAAATTGGTATTTGACACACTCAAGTTCTTTGAACTGTCAATGAAAGTAGCTTAAGGAAGTAATTCAAGAGCTTCTAATTCAGGCTGATTAATCATAAACACATAAAAGAAGCTCATATCCTTGATATTGACATCAGTTTCTTTTATTTATTCGTGATTAATCAGAAAAATAGAAGAGTATAGTTTTTAATAAGTTTCGACAGTCTCCCGACTACGAATAAGAAGACAAGAAAAACAGGTGTCGCTAGATTAATTGCAGATTCGCAAATTCATAATGAAATTCTGTGAATAAATGTTGTATTCTTACAATAAACCTCATGCATGCTATCCAGGAATAAGTGGTAGCATGTCCAGTCCATGTGGAAGGGCCTTGGTTAGAATCCTGCGGACGGCATAACTGAATTTTTTTCATGTTTTCTGATCCGAAATGATCTATACTATAGCGATTAAGCTGAAGTGCTTCTTCCCAGGTTCCATTCAAGTGCAGGAGAACTTCGCAGCGAGAGTACAGTTGATTTTTCATGTTTTATGGTCCAAAACCTCTAATACTCTCTACACTCAAATGCTGCCAAATGTTATTCAATTTTACTTAACTTTTAAGCATTAAAAGGCAAAGTACGCTTTTGGCATTATTGAGTAACGCTTTTTGGTTATTACAAAATACGAACACCTGAAGATAACTGAAGTCCCAAGAGATTCAAAAAGCTGTTAAGTTGTAAAAATTATTTTAAATTTCTCTTAGAGTTACTGCATGATTGCGCAAGTCGTACCACCGATTAAGTTGTACCTTTTAAATATTAAGCGTATATGGAGCCAACTGTCCTTTTTTCCAGCAAAATGGGGTTACCGCTTAACCAACCATATTGTTTCACAGCGTGTTGGTCTACCCGTAATAATTGTAATGGAGGCCGTGAAGAGAATATGATTTAAGGCCTAAAAGGCAAAGGATGGGTACACGACTTAATTTCATCTCCAGCACATGGGCTGGAGTTGAAAGGAAAATGAAAAAATATCTATCATTGTAATTAATTGTATTAACAAATTAATTGAGAGAATTTTTTTTATTATAATTTTCCAGTTTTAAATGTTGTACTACTTAAGATATAGGTGGTACGACTTATAGGGTTGAAACATAAGTATTGGCCGTTTATGTTGTGTTTAAAATTACGCGGTAAAAATAATATGCATTGGCATAATGTTTTGTGTTATTCGAAAGAGAATCTTTCTCTCTACAAGACGGCATATTTGATTGTTTTGTCTCAGCTAATTTTTGTTATTTTTCCGATCATTAAAATGGAGTGTTAAGTCGACAAGCATTTTCGACACTTTTTGCGTTTAATCGAGGCGCCAATGCCGCAGAAGCTGCACGAGAGATTTCTGAAGTGTATGGAGAAGGTGAAATGCCTGAACGAACTGCAAGAAATTGATTTAGCAAATTAAAAAATGGAAATTTCGACCTCGAAGACGATTTCTATTTATAGCTATTTTCTCTACGACGTAATGCAACCTTACCCTAAGTTTAAAACACTGCTCTGTCTTCTTTTGATTCATGTCACATAGGTGCAAGAGAGATTAAAAGACGACGAGTGTTTACTGAAACGCATGGCTTTGAAGGAAAAACTGTGCTATTTATAAATGTTGGCGCTGATCTGCTTGGAAAGAGTTAGTGTTGGTCAGAGGCCGCATTGTTCCCCTTTGCCGAGGTGCTCTTCTCTAATAAGTAGCTGACTTTAAAATCCAGGTATTTTGCTTTAGAAGTTTCGATTATGATGTCTACTGATTTCAAGGTAGGTAGTCTTGAAATCTACCTAAGTGAAAAAAGTTAGTGTGCCAATGAAAGAGACCCTATTGTGCGTAATTTCTTGCCTTATCGTTGCAATCCACCATAAGCAGACAAATAAAGGCTGTTGAATTTTAAATCTGTAATTTGATGGTAGTCAGCGTGATAGCTCACCGACATTTTAGGAAGCAAATCGTAATGGAGTACTACATTAGGGGAACTTTCTTCTAAGAATAGTTTAATCAGCAAACTTCCAAAGTTTTCGTTGCTTTCTAAATAAATTTGGAACTTTATACTCGAGGGTTTATATATATATATATATATATATTTAGATATATATAATTGCAAGACAATTAAAAACAAAAACAAAATATAAACACGCCTAGTATTTTCGCTTACTAAGCTGCTGAAAAATTATCAGTAAAGACATAAAGTAAGAAGTTTAGAACTACATTTCTAATTTTATTTTCTAAATTTAGAACTACATAGAATTCTGGATACAGAAAAACAAAAGATGGAGGAAGAAGAAGAGTGATTTCAATTCATTTCAATGTTCCTCCCCCCCTGACCAAGTGACATTGAAGTTGATTGGATTCCACTTCTGTTATGGTCTTTTTTCATATAATTTCATTAATTTTTATGAATTGGGGTATTGCTTGTTTGAAAGTTTTGGTTTTAACATTTTTTTTAATTCTTTGTTGCATTCATAGGATTATTTGAAATTTATGAATTATAAATTTCAATTTTTGGTCTTTGTGAAAAATTAGTTTCTAAATTTCTTTATATATATATGATGAATACAGTGGTACCTCGATATACGAGTGCCATAACATACGAGTGTTTTGAGATACGAGCCACCGAGTGTGCGACATTTTGCTTTGAGATGAGAGCAAGATTTGAGATACGAGGAATCGCACACTACACCGCTGCACACGACCGCAACATGAGAGCGCATGTTGGTGTCGTGTGCAGCGTCTAACAGTTTCTTCCACCTCAAACTAGACTTATTTCTTTGGGAAAATCCATGGGTCTGAAGGTGGATGAGAGAGATGTGAACGAACTCGTCCAGGAACAGTCTCAGGAGCTGACAACCGAGGAGTTACACGATCTACATTCGCAGCAGCATACGGTGGTCAACGAAAAATTAGTTTTGAAGAGGAGCCAGAGGTGGAGGAGGTTATCCCTACAAAAGACATAAAGGAAATCTTGGGAATGTGGGAGAAAGTTGTAGAGTTCGTGGATAAAAATCACCCCGAAAAAGTTGTAACTGGTCGTGCATCGGAGTTGTTCAACGAAACTTACCTAACTCATTTCCGCAACATCCTGAAAGGGAAAAAGAAACAAACCTCCTTGGACAGTTTTTTTTAAACGATCTGCAGGTGAAAATGAGCAAAGCGTGACGAAATATGTATTTGTTATTTATAAATAAATGTTTCTTCTTGTAAATACATTTTTCTTATTCAAAAACACTTAACAAAAACAACTGAGGTGGTGTTTTGGGAACTGGAACGGATTAATGACATTTCAATTAATTTCAATGGGGAAAATTGCTTTGAGATACGAGCAATTTGACATACGAGCAAGGTTACGGAACGAATTAAACTCGTATGTCGAGGTACCACTGTATATTCATTATTTCAAATAACTGTACTTTTTTGTTACCTTTCTAAATTATTAGTACCTCATTTCCTTACAGATATGTTTGTTTTATTCTAGCCTCGTTTTCATAATTGTCCCCAGTTTGCCCACTAACAAACTGAAATATTAGTAGCTCAGCTCCTTATAAGTATATTTGTTTTGTTCTAGATTCCTTGTTTTCAGAACTGTCCCTAGTTTGCCCAATAATAAAATGAAATCATATAACTAGTGATAAGGAAAACCAAAATATTCTTGCTAAAATTTTAAAAGCTGAGAGTACAAAATATTTCTTCAGCTCAGAATTCGATCGAACTCAATTTTGTAAATATTTAATCAGTAAGTTTATGAGCCAAAAATTGTCTGCAAATTATAATAAAATACCACCTATATGTTTTTATAAATTTGATATTATTTTGATTGAATATTAAGCTAACACTTTATTTAGGTAAAAATATCTTGCAGTTATTTTAATAACCCCATTTTCTTTTCACAAACTAACAGTAGTAATAATGAGAATTACTCTCGCTAATGCCTCTGTGGAAGGAGCAGTGCTGAGTAGGTTCGCATTTGAAGACCCTTGAGTTGTGGAAATCACCGGCACGGAGAATGCGTTGAGCAGTTTCAGTGGTACTTCCAAGGAGTCCCAATTGCCCTCCGTCAAAACAGCTGAAATGAAAAAAGAAATGATTAAAATTTTTTTAAAAACAAATTCTGAAAGATTTCAGGTTTTAACGATCGCCCAAAAGGAATTGTTAAAGTTTGTTACGCTCTCGCTAAGCTCATCGTGTACAAGTCTATTTTTGCACTCATTCCTGTTTATCCATTAAAAAAAAAAAAAAAAAAAAAAAAAAAAAAAAAAAAACCTTTATTATTATCACACATCGTTTTCTTGGTCCATATCCCATATACAATTCAACAGCAAAAATTACACAAATTTTAAACTCAGTATAGCAGCATATGTTTAGAATTCCCAATGCAATGTTAAATGTTGGCATAATTTTTTTTTTTCAGTCTTTTCTCAGTTCATCACATCAATGTTCCGTTTTCTTAGTAAGATGACTTATAAAACTTTCCATAAAATTGAATTCAACAGCAAACTCTCAAAATATTTAAAAACAGCATATCTTTAGAATTTTCGATAGACACTCTCGTGATGGAGATAAAAATGTTTTATTCCGTACAGTGCTATCCACTGCTTGCTTTCGAATCGTATATTTTAAGCAAGAATTAATTAAAGTGTTACAAAATATGAAATAAATAATATAAAAATATATAATGTCATTTTATGAAAACATTGGATATTTTTAATTAGATAGATCATTAGTTAAACGTATTTTTATTAGGTAAATCAATCCGATGCAATTAAAATTAATTAATAAATAAATTAACGATTACTTTAATTAAAAGTGAGAAAGGAATTTTCTTAAGAACTGCATATATTGCTTTCAAATAGCTTATTTTGTTAATCCACAACAAAGAGATCTAATTTGAAAGATCTTTCTTTTATGCCAAATGGCAACTGACTCGCATAAAAATGAAATGAAGCATTTATATTGATTCCACGTAAAATCCCATTTCCCAATAGCTTCTTTCGGGTTAGTAAACAAACAAACATTCTTTATTATAGCAATGCATGGCAAACCAAAAAATAATAACATAAAAATGAAAAGAGACAAAGATATTTCTTAAACCTAAATCCTCTGTACAGGATTATTACAAATGACTCCTCGTGTTTTAAAATCCTGTAATTTCCAAGTTATTAATCAAGCAAGTTCATTATACCCGCATAACAAAAGGAGATTTAATATTATTCAATTACTTAATTATTTTAAAGATTTGAGACTATTTTATTGCATCAAGTTAATAGTGCTTTCCTTATGTGACTTTTACTTTGAAATTGTTTTGCTACAGTGGTCCATAGCAACCTGTTACAATAAATTAGTGTAATTTTTGCGTAATGAAAATTCGGCAACGTCAAAAACAAACGAGCGCCAAACGATATATAGTGTCGAGAAAGGATTCTGCTTATGTTCTGATGCAAGAAGTTTTTTAAAAAGACTTTACTCTAACGTTGTATTTGTGTTATTTTTTTTTTTTTTCGCTTTTGCAGGTGAAGACGATGGTTCGGTAAAACCATCGAAACCAGTCTTGTGAAAATTTGAAAAAATAAGGCTAATTTTTGTTGTTTGACTTCTAAATTAATACTTGCTCGGCGTGTTATTGTATCTTAATTAGTTGTATTTGTGTTACATTCTTTTCAGCATGTTAACATTTTTTATGGAATACAATCTTGATAATATGGCTTAATAGGTAAGCCTGAAGATGTTTAAACTTATAAATGTGTATTTTGTAAGTTCTTTATTTCAGCACTTTGATTTAAATATTTGTAAAGACTGTTAACTTTGATTTTTAGGCCAAAGGACGTTAGCCCAAAAGGGCTATTAATTTCGTTTTCGCATTTTGCGTTGAAAACATTAAATGTCGGTTCAATTTCAAACTGTTGCCACCAATTATAGCCCTATATTATAATTAAAGAAATTAAATAATGAAGTATCTGCATAAATGTATGTCTGTTTCTCGCATTGTGATAAAACGACGGTACCTAGGGTCATCCAATTTTGAATAACGTACGTTTCCACCGAATATGGGCATCTGAAAGTCCAAATTTGGAATTTGTTTTATTATCTATTTCACATTTTGTAACTGTTAAACGAATTTTTGATTAACAAACTGAACGATTTCAAGGCGAGCAATGACAACACTGTACGGGAAAAAAAATATTTCCAGCGCGCGAGACTGTGTATCGGAAATTCTAAAGATATGCTCATTTTAAAATTATTTTAGATGTTGCAGTTGAACTGAATTTTATGGTTTAAGTACGAAGAGCATAATATTTAATAAATAAAAGTAACCCACAAAACGCTCTTTTGAGAGTAATGTAAAATTTGAAAGCTTTCAGATGTTTTTTTATATATTATTTGTGTTCTATTTGAGCTAAGCAAATTTTCTAACTTGTTAAATAAAGATTCGTAGTTGTTCTGACTTATTATTCATTAATAAAACTGTGCGAAATAGTAGATAGTGTACTGAAACGCCTTAACTGTGTTAAATGCACGACATATCACAACTGAATGCATCCAAAGTGGCCGAAAAATACAACTGGGAAAAAATACTAGTAGCAGACATTCAGAGCTCAAGATAATTGATGGTGTGTTGGTGTATTTAATTATGGCAAAGCACACTAGGGCTATCTGCCTAAGGGGAGGAATGCCTTCGTGGAGGACTTTCTAAGGGGAACTGGCTCGTATACACGTTACACATGGGGAAAACCACGAAAACACCCATGCAGCCAGCCCGTTCGCGGGATTCGAACCTCGAACCGAACTACCAGTGTTTAGCGACTTTACCGCTCGGCCGCTGGTGGGCCCAAGATAATTGATAACAAGCCAGTTAATTACATGAGCTACAAACCTTAACTTTAAACCACACACATGCTAGTTTACAGCAATCACTCATGACTGAATTCCTTTCTTAGAAACTCCCCAAGATTAGGCACAAATTTCGTAGAAAACAAATCATTCTTATAAACAGAAAAATACTGGATACCGGAAGTTGCTTTTTCCAGTCTGATATAATGATCGACTTATTTAATTATAAAATACAATAATTAGAAGAGCTGTCTGTTTTAAAGTCTGTTTACAGGACATTCCATGCACTCATCAGTAACTTCGGCAATAACAAACATGCTGGTCAGCTAGTGGAAAACTACAATACGTCATTGCCTGGTTTAGTCCAGATTACCTCAAGATCTTATCTAAGCCAGATTAGCAACATAAAGATTAATACGCTGCCATCCATTAGATGCAGACAAGGATAAAAAGAAAAAAACAAAAACACAGGAAAGTCAATGATTTTTTAGCCAAGCAGAGTGGTTAGTTGTGATAGATGCGTCTGCCTTATCAGAACAGATTTGCTAATGCCAATGAACTATCGTGGAAAGGCAGTTTAATGCACAGGAGCTATGCAGTATCTTCTGGTGATCTGTACTGAGCCGCAGAAATCACCTTTTTGCAATGTACTCTCAGACTTTTATTGCTTGATCATCACTGAATATTTTGTATGTTGAATATCCCACATTATCTCGTGTACGTAGCATGCAAACTTACTAGTGTAACCTTACAAACACCATTGTGGTATCGCATGTGTTCAGCTTGCGGGAAATGTTGACCTGCTGCAAAAATATTATCTTTTACAGACACATTAAAGTTGAAAATGACTATATTAGAGCAACAGTTAATTGTTCATTTATTTATATAGTAATCTGTAAGTTGTTCATTTACTTATTTACTAATTTGTAAGTTTTATTGTAGCTAATACATCATTTTTATGTCAGTTCTTTCCTGTAGTTTTTATTTCTTCCAACAGTAGTTACCAGAATGCAAATTAGATTGAAGATGCTGGCAGTCATCCAGTATTGCTGCACACTCTGATACGAGGAGTTTCACTTATGCACTGCTGAATGAATATCGTATCGGTTAGGATACAGGATTTGAGACTATTATTATCGTTTTAAGTCCTTGTGTTCCTGAAACCTTAAAGTAGTGATGGTAAGTAATTGTTAATTTTTTAGTTTGATTACAAGACGTAATTTATTAAATCTATAACTAAATTTTATCTTTTGTCTGTGTTATTGCAGTTTAGTGAGACTTCTGCTTTGTTTGCGAAGGGGAAAATTCGTCACAAAGAAAAGCGTTCACTAGATGTAAATTAGTAGATAAATTAGGTATCAATTTGTGGATTAAACTATAAGGAGTTCATTTTACACAGTAACATAAAATTAATGAGGTACACATCACCATAAGTTTCATATTACAGTGAAGCAAATAAAATAAAATAAGGTTACAGTAATAGAAAAGTAAATAACAAAGCAAAGCCAATAACTTGTTATGAAGTTAAGCTCAAATTCTAAGATTTAATATATATAATATATTTAGAAATCGCGATTTTTCAAAAATTTGCTATGATAAAGAAAGGGATGTTTTCGAGGATGTATAAAAAACCTCAAACTAAAAAATAAGACAAATAAAATTGAAGAATAATGTTATACAATAATAGTTAAAACCGCAGTGCATTTCCAGTGAAATAAAAGAACAATATGATAATATTTTCGTTATGCTATATAATATATTCAAGATAAAATACTATATGTATACAAAACTTTTAATGAGGAAATAAGGATTTGTACGACAAAAACGCTTTATTTTCGAAATAAAATTTGCTATTCCTCGCTTTCAAATCGTAGAGTTCGTAATCAAAAATTGGTAAATTTTACAAAATTTATATATGTATAAAGAAGAATGTTTCTGTGTTTATTTGTTTGTTCGCATTATTGATTTCTGATCATTTATGATAAGTTTTTTGTCACATTTAATCGATTGAAACTGAATATAGGTAAAATATTGGAGAAAACTTGAGACTTTACAACCATTTAATTAGAAAGACGAAAATCATGGAAAACTCCGTGCCATTGTTTCTGATAATGAGAGAGAATTATCTTATTTTTCTATCGAAATTTTTTATATTTGTTCCATATCGCATTAGACTGAAAAATGTATGACTATGAATCGTACTTTTTTTGCATCTTTATTAGATAAGGATTATAGCGG